CCCCTCCCCCCGCCAGCTCCCTTCACTCCTGACCCACAACCCCCTGCCCCTCACTCCCACCCTGCAGCCCCTTTGCTCTGTGGGGGCCCTTCATTCCGACCCCGCAGTGCCCTGCCCCCCCAGCTCTGCCGAGACCCACTCCAGACCCGCAGCTGCCCAACACCCCAGCTCAGTCCTGGGTGCCCCCCTTGGCCTGCCCTGCTGCGGGGGTGCTGCGCAGCGCGGCCACGTTACCTCTCTGCAGGTGGCGGAAATGCTGCAGCAGGACGGGGACGGTCTCACGCACAATGCTGGGGTGTGTGGACACAGCAGCCAAGGCCTGTAGGCAGCGCTGGTGCCGCGTGCCCTCATCCTCCCGCTCTGGAAGGCACGGCACGGGGGAAAGGCTAGGCTGGCACCAGGGCCACAGCTGGGACCCTGCCAGCCCCAGCCCCCAGGGCAAGCTGCTGCGGGCACCAGTGGGCTTCCTGTTCCTCCCTCCTGCAAATGCCTCTACAGACCCCTCCCCACATGGCCCTGCTCACAGCACACGGCCTCAGTCCCTAGCCCTGTACCTGTCTGCAGCTCCTGCGCCAGCGCTCGCACCATGCGGTCTGTGAAGGCCCCAGGGTGGGCAGGTGCCAGGGTACCTGCCGCCTCCATTGCTGCCATGCTGCCAGGAGGGGAGGGGGCGGGTGAAGGCAGCAGCAGCAGCTGTGCTGCAGCCTTGCTCTGTCTGCTGGCAGCAGGCACTGGTCCATAGTACCCTGTTCTGAATTGACCGGGCCCAGCCTGTAACCCAGCCCCGGCCACAGCCCCAGGCCACCCATCCGCACTGCCTAACCCTGCTCACCTGCTCTGGGGATCCTCCTCATGGAGAACGAGTCGTGTCAAATGGTCCACAGCTAAGTCCAAGTCTGAGGCCACCAGAAGCCCTGTGCCAGGAGATCAGATGTAGCTCAGTGGGGACCAGTTCATCACCCAACTCCACACCCATCCCCACCAGGACCCTGCCTGGCCCCGAGAGAGACCACACCCCTACCCAGAGTATAGGACACCCACCTGGGAGCATGCCCAGCACAGTCAGGGCCCGGACACCCACTACCTGCAGCTGCACGCTGGGGTCTGTCAGTGCCGAGAACACCACAGAGCACAGAGGGGCACGGACATCCAGCAGGACAGTCTCGTCTGCGGACACATGGATGCAGAATCACTGGGATGCAGGCTAGCAGCACCACACAGGACTTTGGGGTGGTGCTGCGCTGCAGCCACCTCGGGGAGGGGGGCAGGCGATGGCTTGGTGCGGGTCTGAGCCATGGGCAGAACCCTGTCACTCACCACCCTCCTCGTGCCCCCACTTCTGCGGCAGCTCCAGGAAGCCCAGCAGCATCTCCAGGATCGTCCTCCGCTGGCTGCTCTGCAAAGGAGCCAAGACCGGGCCCAGGTTACAGCCCTGCCAGGATGGGGCTCAGCACCAGTGTGGGGGTGGGAGGTGCAAGGTGCTCCAGCTCTAGCTCCAACAACTCTGCCACCAACCCAGGAGCAGAGAAAGGCACCGTGGGGCCAAGCTCTGCAGAGACCCCCACCTCCAGACCAGAGAAGGACCCTGTCAGATCAACCTGGTGGCCTTTCACAACCAGGTCCCTAAATCATTGGACGCAGGGGTGGCAGTGGATATAGTTTTCCTAGACTTCAGGAAGGCTTTTGATACTGTCTCTCACCCCATTCTAACTAAGAAGCTGGGGGACTGTGGCGTAGACACCCATATAGTCCAGTGGGTCGCCAACTGGTTAGAGAGTCGCACCCAGAGGGTGGTAGTGGATGGGTCCTTCTCGACCTGGAAGGACGTGGGAAGTGGGGTCCCACAGGGCTCGGTCCTTGGGCCT